CGGGCTGCCACTGGGCCTGTATATCTCCGCCGGCTGCCACCGGGCCTGTATGTCTCTGCCGGTTGCCGCTGGGCCTGTATGTCCCTGTCGGCTGCTGCCACTGGGCCCGTCCACCTCCGCAGGTCGCCGACCTGCGTCCGCCTGTCTCTGCCGTGTGGCCTGTCCACTTCTGTGGGCTGCCGCCGGGCCTGAATGTCTCTGTTGGCCGCCACTGCCGGGCCTGTCCACCTCCATCTGCTTATCTCCGCCTCAGGGCCTGTCCACCTCTGTGGGCCTCCGCTGGGCCTGAATGTCCCTGTCAACCGCCACCGGGCCCGTCTACCTCCGCGGGCCGCCGCCACAGGCCTACCTGCATCTGCTTATCTCCGCCATCTTCTTATTTTTACTTTTTAAAAATTAATTTTGTAAGCCAGGTGGTGGTGGCATGTGCCTTTAAACCCAATACTCGGGGGCTGGAGAGATGGTTCAGTGGTTAAGAGCACTGGCTGTTCTTCCAGAGGTCCTGAGTTCAGTTCCCAGCAGCCACATGGTGGTTCCCAACCATCTTTAATGAGATCTGGCACCCTCTTCTGCCATGCAGACAGAACATTGCACACATAATAAATAAATCTTAAAAAAAAAAAAAACCAAAAAACCCAATACTCAGGAGGCAGAGGCAGGTGGATCTCTGTGAGTTCAAGGCCAGCCTGGGCTACAGAGTGAGTTCCAGGAAAAGCGCCAAAGCTACACAGAGAAACCCTGTCTCCAAAAAAAAGTTAATTTTGTTTATATGTGTGTAAGTCTTGTCTGCATATATGTCTGTGCACCATGTGCATGCCTGGTGCCCAGAGAGGGCCAGAGGAGGGTGCTGGATTCCCTGGGCCTGGAGTTACAGACAGTTTTGAACCACCATGTGGGTTCTAGGACTTGAACTTGGGTTTTCTGGAAGAGCAGCTAGTGCCCTTAATTGCTAAGCCATCTCTCTAGCCTCTATATGTATATATGTGTATTTATATAAGGTATGTCTGCCTGTCTATTCATCCACCCATCCATCCATCTTTTATTTTCTGCTTCCCTGGGGAGACCTGATGATTACAGAATTCAACGAACAATGCTCATTCCTGATGGTCCCTCTCTTTCCTAAGTTTCTGCTTGGCTGCCTTGGAGACTCAACCTTCTTTACTCTGAGCTCCCATCTGAGTGGGGTGACCATCTGTCTTCTCTGGTCTTTCAGCCCTCCTAACCCCATCCCCTTCCTTCTCCACATGGTGCCCGTGCTGAGACTTGCCCCTCCAGAGCAAGACAGTCTGTCTTAAGCCTTGTTTCTTCCTTACAAGGACCAGATACCCTAGAGCTGGGATTAAAAGCATGCACCACCATTGTCCATCCAAATTCCTGTTTAAAAAAATCCACCTTGGAGTAGGATATAGTGACTGATAGCAGAGGTAGGCAGGTTCTGTGAGTTTGAGGCCAACCTAGTCTATATAGTGGGTTCCAGGCCAGCCAGGGCTAAGTGGGGGAGATCCTGTCTCAAAAACGAAAAACCAACCAACCAACCAAGAAACAAAAAACTACCTTGGCAGCAAAATTCAGAACAGCTAATGCTGCTCCTCACGCCTGTTGCCCGCCTCCTGTTAGGTCTCAGGCAGTCCATATATCCAGAAATGAGCTGGGCTACAGAAGGATTTCTTGTGGTCAGATAAGCCAGCATTCCTCAGGAACTTGCAAAACAGGTTCCTGTCCCTCAAAGGGAGTCATTTCCTTTGCCTCTGGCACAAGGGACCTATGGTTCTCTACTGACCTGTACCTGTGGTTGCCTATCAAAGCCCATACTGGCCCCCAGGCTCCCTCAGTCCCTAGTCACAAGTACCCATTAGACGTTTCAAAGGCCCCAGCCAGCATCCTGGCCCCTTTTACCTCCCCCTTACCCTAAAACACACAGGCCTGCTCCAGCTCACCGGCTTTCCTTCCTCAGCTCCTCATCCTTCTTATAATTGCACTCTCTCACAGGTAGCCCTGGGCACGTCCATCTACCTTTTCTCTCTGGGTTCTGGACTCATCCTGAAGCCTCGGGATGTTTTCTCTTTTCACCGACCCCTCCCCTGCATCTGGCACGGATTCTTGCAGACTTCCGTGTGTCTGTGTCTCTCCCAGTCTCTTCTCAGTTGCCTTTCTGGTCTCCCTGTCCAGCAGCACAGCGGCAGCTGCAGCAGCACATCTCAGAGGCTGGCCTGAGGAGGTCACTTCCTTCTGCCTTACTTGTTCCAGCTGCGCCGTCTCTGTTCTTCTCTCCTGATTTTGTGTGATCCCTTGTCATCCTCGAAGCCTTCCTCCTTCACCCCGAGTGGTCTCATGCCCACGCAGCTCTCGCCAGTCCCTCTCATTCACAATTTCTGCTTCCCAAATTCCAGCCAGCCCTGGGCTCCCGTCCTAGCTCCGTACTCCAGCATCCAACCACGACTCAACTCCTCTACCCCACAGTTTAACCGACACCTCCTCACAGTGACTGCTCAAAGCTGAATCCAGCCTTCTTAAAAAGATTTTTTTTTTTTTAGGTTTTATTTTATGTGCATGAATGTTTTGCCTGCATGTGTGTGCCCAGTGCTCACAAAGTTCCAAAGAGGGCTTCAGATCATTTGGAACTGGAGTTAGGGATGGTTGGAAACCTCCGTGTAGGTGCTGGGAATTGAACCCGGGTCCTCTGTGAGAGCAACGAGTGTTCTAAACCGCTGAGGCATCAAGATGTCATCAATCCCTCATGTGGCATATTCTAGTTGGGAAATTCTGGTGGTTCTACCACCAAAATAAATTTAAGATTTGGATTTAAATACAATATTTATTTATTATTATTCTAAAAAAATGTGTGTGTGTGCGCGCATGCGCGCACACACAGGTGCCTGAGGAGACAGAGGGTTGGATGCCCTTGAGCTGGAGTTGCATGCAGTTGTAAAACTACCTGACCTGGGTGCTGGGAATCACTGAGCCATCTCTTCAGGCCCTGGATGCTTCCATTTCTCAGTTTTCTTTTTTAAAAGAAGATTTTTTTTTTGGCCGGATATGGTAGCTCCCTTTAATTCCATCGCTTGGGATGCAGAGGCAGGTAAATCTCTGTGAGTTCAAGTCCAGCTTGGTCTGCAGAGTGAGTTCCAGGACAGTCAGGGCTCTGCAGAGAGATCCTGTCTCAAAACAAACAAACTGAAGATTTATTTATTTGGGACCAGATGATAGGCCCTCACATGGCAGAAGGGACAGGAGGGAAGAGGGTCCGAGTGGCCATCTCCCGACCTTTTCATACATCCTAGAGCCAGAGCAACTTAACTATCTCAAAGGACCTTGCTTTCTGTCTCTTGGGACTTCGATTCCAACCACACAGAATTTGGGGGAGCATATCCATGCCAACCACAGCAGGAACTGTGTGTAACCTGAGAGAGCGGAGCCAATGTGCAAATAAATGCTGAGGGACAGAGAGAGGAAGGATGGGAAATGAAAGTGGAGAAGATGTGGGGGGCATCTCTCATGCTCTCAAGCCTTCTCCTTGGTTAGTCTCCCCTTAGGGTCTCTGTTTCTTCTCACATCAGTTTTGATCATTTATATTTTTGGATGATAATCAGGCTCCCGTGGGCTTGCACTTGCTGCCATATGGCTATCTTTTCGTCCTTTAGTGACTTCTGTAATACAGCTGTATCTCCTGTGCTCATCCCGTCTATGTCTTTCCCTCTTTTTTGCTTATTTAAACTTGTTTGTAATTGTGTACATTAGAAAGTATGCTCCAAGAACTAGAGTTTCAGTTTCCTCCTAAATGTATTTCTTCTACTGGATTCTCTCCCTCCCTCCCTCCCTCCCTCCCTTCCTTCCTTCCTTCCTTCCTTCCTTCCTTCCTTCCTTCCTTCCTTCCTTCCTTTCTTTTTCCAAGACAGAGTTTCTCTGTGTAGCCTTCCCTATCCTGGAACTCACTGTAGACCAGGTTGGCCTCGAACTCAGAGATCTGCCTGCCTCTGCCTTCTGAGTGCTGGGATTAGAGGTGTGTACCACCACGGCCTGCTCTTTCACTGGTTTCTTATTCATCCTTATTCATTGTTATCTTAGTCTTTTTCTATTTTTTTTCTAATGATGTATTTTGATTATTTTTAGTTATGTGTATATGTATGTGTCTATGTTTGGATTTGTGTGAGTGACCGTGGAGACCAGAAGACAGAACCATAGGAGCTGGAGTTACAAGAAGCTGTGAACTGTCTGACTGGGTGCTGGGAACTGAACTTGTGTCCTCTGGAAGAGCAGCAAGAACTCTTCACCACTGAGCCATCTCTCCAGCCACTTTTTCTAGGTTCTTTTGTTCTTGTTTTGTTGTGGAGGGAGACAGATTCTCACTATGTAGCTCTAGCTGACCCGGAAATCGCTGTGTAGACCAGGTTGACCTCAAATTCAGACAGACCTGCCTGCCTCTGCTGGGATTAAAGGCATGCACTACCACACCCAATCTTTTTTTCTAAGTTCTTAAGTTGCAAATTTAGTTCATTTATTTTCAGCATTTTTTTTTTTTTTTTTTTTTTTTTTTTTTTTTTTTTTTTTT